GACCCAACCAAGGGGCCTAAGGCGGGTCCCTAGATGCGTAATTTGGTGCCTAAAAGCCCTTCCGTTATGTATTTCTTATGTATTTCTTTGTCTTTCTTTCTCCATATCCTCTGCCTCTCCTTATGTATTTTTTTGTTTTCCCTTTTCTATTTTTACCTTCTCTTCCCTGTGTATACGTGCTTGCACATGAACTATATATGGCTAAACAGTTTTGTAAAAAAAAATATGCGCGAACGGTCAAGGAGTAAGAAGAAGGCAAAAAGAGAACAAAGACGGCATCCATGGAAGCCATGTGAGAGTGTCCACTTTTTTCGCTTTTACTTTCACCCTTGCATTCTTTCCTGAATCAGAGTTTTCTCACACCTTGTAGACTCGTGCAGGTTATGATCTTGTGTGTGTGTGTGTGTGTGTGTGTGTGTGTGTGTGTGTGCGTGTTGTTTGTGTGTGTTCGTGTAACGAAATAACGTATACAATAGCTTGGCAATTCTCATGGTTATGAGATACAATGTGAAAGGAATTGAGAGAATAATGGTCGCGTAGCTTAAATCAAAGTTCCCCATTGCAGTCCTCTCTTTTTGGATATTTTTGCATTTTGTTTTTGTAAGAGGTGTAGCGCCAGAAGAAAGAAGAGGAAGAAGAAAAGAACGGGTGAAGAAGGAGATCGGGGGGGGGGGGGCGAAGGGGGGGCCTCCCAGAGCTGTTGCACACCCCCCCCCTCTAATAAAAAAAAAAGAGAAAAGGAAGGAAAGGGAAAGGGTAAGAGGAGATAAAGGGAAGGAAAAAGAAGAAAAGAAAAGAAAGGGGATATCATTTGCAATTTTCCCCGGTGGATCGAGGAGGGGCAAAAGGCCCTTACCTCCCCCGCCCCCGCTATAACAAAGAGAGAAAGAAGAAAAAGGAAAGAGGAGAGCTAAAAGGGAACAAAAAAGAGGAAGAAGAAAAGAAAAGGGTGAAAAGAACGTGAGATCAGTTCCGGTTAATCCCGCCAACAACGTGTGGATCGGGGTGGGGACCGAAAGGCCCTTGCCCCCCACCCCCCCCCCCCCCCTCGGCAAACCTTAAGGAGAAGAGAAAGGGAAAGAATAAAAAAGAGAAAGAAGAAAAGGGGGGCACTGGCGTACTGATAGGGGGGGGGGGGCTTGGGGGAATTCAAATTCAAACGTGGTTAATTTCTAATTCCATAACGGTGGCTTACAAATAATGCTGAATTCTTTCCGAGATTTTCCCTCAGTTTTTAGTAAATTATACTTTTGTATGCGTTTGTTGGAAAATGACAAGTTCCTAAATTTACAGCCAGGCAAGAAATATGATTCTTGAGAAAAGTTAGGGCCCGGGGATCGGCTGGAATCGCAAGCCTCGAGCTCCCCCCCCCCCCTCCCCTCCACTTTTTTTTGAAAAGGTATAGTAAAGAGAAATAGAAATAAAGAGAGAAAGAATAGTTAACTAGCTGCTCATCTGACCGAAATTAAACGCCTAAAAACCCCTGAGCTTCCGGGGTTCCGTCCCTTGCACCCCGCCTAGGGCCCTAGACTCCCCTGGATGCTAATCTGACGGAAATGTAATGCCTAAAACCCCTGTTTTTCTGGGGCTTCGCCCGCTGGACCTCACGCCAATTAGTGTCCTGCCAGTGTCACAAATAAGGTATAAAAATATGTTCATCTGACCGTAATCAAATGCCTAAAACCCCTGAGCTTCTCGGGTCGGACAAGGTATCAAAATTTGTTTATCTGACCGCAGGCGCGTAGCCAGGGGGGGGGGGGTAGAAAAAAATAGAGAGGAGAGGAAAGGAAGAGGACGTAGGGAGAAAAAGTAGCAGACAAAAAACATCTTTGAAATTCAGACAAGAATTAAGAGTATAGAGAACGGTACAACGATTCGTCTTCTATCTCTAATAATTTAATGAATCGTCAAAGCGTCCGCGCTTCGCGGAGGGGGGGGGGGGACTGAATTAAGACAAGGATTAAGAGTATAGAGAACGGTACAACGAATCGTCTTCTATCTTTAATAATTTAATGAAACGTCAAAGCTTCCGCGCTTCGCGGAGGGGGGGGGTTGAATTAAGACAAGGATTAAGAGTCGAGAACGATTCAACGAATCGCTTTCTTTCTCCAATGATTTAATGAAACGTAAAAGCTTCCGCGCTTCGCGCGAGACGGGGGGGGGGGGGGGGGGGGGGGGGAGGGGGGCTGAATTAAGACAAGGATTAAGAGTCGAGAACGGTACAATGAATCGTTTTCTTTCGTCAATGATTTAATGAAACGTAAAAGTTTCCGCGCTTCACGCGGGAGGGGAAAATTGCATTCAAACGAGGATAATTTTCGAGAACGCTATAACGAATCGTCTTCTTTCAATAATAGTTTAATGAAACGTCAAAGCTTCCGCGCTGCGCGGAGGGGGGGGGGTGAATTAAGAGAAGGATTAAGAGTCGAGAACGGTACAACGACTTGTCTTCTTTCTCTAATACTTTAATGAAACGTCATATATAGCTTCCGCGCTTTGCAGAGGAGGGAGGGGGGGAAACTCACCCCTCCCTACATCCCCCTGCATTACGTCACTGCTGGTCACCATTACGTACCAATATTTGGCTCGCATAATTTCAAATTTGGGCCCCCCCCCCCTAAGAAATTCTGGATCCGCGCCTGTCCAGGGGGCGGAGCCCCAGGAGGCTCACGGGTTTAAGGCAATATATTAGGGTCAGATGAGCATCCAGGGGCCCGCCTTAGGACCATTTGTTGGGTTCAGGGGGCAGAGCCCCGAAAGCTCAGGGGTTTAGGCATTTAATTACGGTCAGATGAGTATAATGATACCTTATTTGTGACACTAGCAGGTCACTAGTTGGTGTGGGGTCCAAGGGCGGAGCCACCAGCAGCTCAGGGATTTTAGGCATTAAATTACCGTCAGATGAGCATTCAGGTGCCCGCCTTAGGGCCCTAGGTGGAATCCAGGAGGCAGAGCTTACAGAAGCTCAGGGGTCTTAGTCATTTAATCACGGTCAGATGAACAAATTTTGGCACCTCATTATTTTCCAACAAACGCATAAAAAAGTATAATTTACTAAAGATTGAGGAAAAATCTCGGAAAATTATGTCATTTCAGTAACATTCGTAACTCCCGGTTTCGAATTAGAAATAAAGCACGTTTGAATTATATTTGGGCCGCAAAATTACAACTGATATCCCCCTTCTTCCTCTTTTTTCCTTCCCTTTATCTCCTCTTTTCCTTTTTTCTTTCCCTTTTCTTCCTTTTTTGATGGGGGGGGGGGGGGGGGGTAACAGCTGGGAGGCAAGCCCTTTCACCCCCCCCCCCCCCCGATCTCCTTCTTTTTCCCCTTTTCTTTTCTTCTTCCTCTTCTTTTCTTCTTCCTCTTCTTTCTTTCCCTTTCTCTCCTCTTTCTCTCTTTTTTTTTGCGGGGGGTGGGGGAGGGGGGGGGGGGACAAGGCCCACTCGCCTCCCTGGATCCGAGCCTGCTGCTAAGCAACATCTTGTTTGATGTCTAAAGATAAACAATTATTCAAACGTTAATGCGCTTGTCTCCATTTCGGTATTTCAGCAGCAGTCACATTGTAAATCATGGAATCAATGCTGAAATTACTCACTTTTTTCACAGTGATAATGATTAAATGTTTCAATATTCTGTTCAGGCTCTGAACTACTCCTGGATAGCTTTTATTTAATGAACAAAATAATACCTAACTTCCTGGTATAATATAAGTCAAATTTATAGGACAAGATCTCTAAACCTTGGGTGTGAATTAGCCAGAGAATAATTCCCTGGGGTGTTTACCGGGAGCACCGGTAAATTGTAATATTCAATTTTTCTCGAAAGCAGAAGTGTTTTAGGGGCTAAATTTTGAAGTGCTTATAATACGTCCACAGAGGCATCCAAATATATAAAAATTGTAAAGAATCACTATCCACCCAATTTTCATAATTTCCCAAAACTTTGTATTACCTTTAAACAATTTCGTGTTCATATTCGAGTACTAAATGCTATATACCAGATTAAGTCCAAAGTTAAAAAGCATGTCTGTTATGATATATATATGTATGTCTCAATTATACATGTCAGCCAATTTTTATCACATATCTATTCTCAGACACGAAATAATCAATTCTACACTAAACATGGAACGCATCGTGGATACTTGCAAACGGTGAAACCCCTCTTTTGCAGTTTCACTGGTAAATTCTGGTATTGTGTCCCTTGCTATTGTAAAAGGTGTGCCCCCTCCACATTAAAAAACGTTTTGTAGCGTCTGTCATGAAAAAAGTTAATGTATCTAAAACACCCCTTGGAAAAACACCTCTGTTAATTCCTGCAGACGTGCCCCTTAACTTCATTTTTTCTCCCCCCCCCCCTCTCTCTCTCTCCGGTTTCCCTTTCTCAACTTTCTCCTTATTCTCTGTCATGTTAATACTATTTACGATTGATCTATGGTTCTCTGTTGCTCGCAATGTTATAACCTTCACTCCATCCTCTTTCGGTTGTCATCTTTCCTTCACCTAGTAGTACCCTCTTTTCCCTCTCTCTTTATGTATCTTTTCCTTTCCGAATCCTCTCTCCATCCCATCTCTCTTACTAATTCATCTGAATCGCCCAGCCATCATCCGCATACCAACAAAAAACATTACCATCATCACTGGCATAGGTTAGGGGCTTATAGTCTCATCAAATAGATGAAATGTAAAAAGAACACAGAGAAAGAAGAGAGAAAAAGAGAGAAAAAGAAGGAGAAAGGGAACATGACTAGAAGATGCTATAATCCCATACTCATCACCTCCCTTTACTAATAAGTGGTCTTGCAAATTTGCATTTTGTCCACTTAGTAAGAATGGTGCACCCCCTCCCCTCCCCCTGATGCCAGGAAGCCCTCAGTGTCTGGACCCATACTACGCAAATGACCATCATCATAATTGACATTCTAATCACAGACATAATCATTGCCATCACTGAAACTTCTGCTGACAAAGAGGAAAAAATGTAAATACATCCGGCTTCATCAAGTTTAAAACAATTCATGATTTAATACTTCATTTTCAGAACAAAATATATTCATATAAAACAACAAATGCTTTGGTATAACACATAACTATGTGCAGAAAAAGAAGAAGAAAAAATGATAACACCTATTCCAATGACCCCAATTCATTTTTCAACTTCATCAATTTCAGCCATCACATGTATAGTAACATGTAAGCAGAATGTAATTCTTTTCTTCTTCAATTTCAAAATTTCTTATATCATATCAATGTATCTTTATAGAGCAAGATCGCTGTACATCAGAAATAGGCAAAAACTTTTCTGTGTTATACCTCATGCAACAATGGAGTTGAACAAAAAATTTAAAAAAATAAAGTGTAGACTTTAGCCTTTATATCTTAAAAGGGGATCCCGATAGTGCCTACTTTTCTCTTTCTTGGCTATCATAAAGGCTAAAAATCTTTTGGCAAATGAGTGTTTTGATACATGCATGTGTACTTTGCACATTTTCCCCTCTCAAATTGGGCTGTAAAAAGAGCCAAAAAAAAGGAAAATATTGGGCACTGTCTGGATCCCATTAAATCAAAGATAATCTCTTTTGACAAAATAAATCTACCAAAAAGAAATTAAGAAATCTTAATTCAAACAACATGTCTGCCTCTCACCCATAACCAAATAACAATTGAACCCGACACTTTTTTCTCTTGCAATACCGAAGGAAACATATCTTGTTTCTCCCTCACATAACTTACATTTTAAATATTAGTATATTAACTTAAAACATAAATATCATAGAACAATTAGATTAAGTATTAGTCACTGAAACTCCAGTTGGTGTATATCTGTAATTGTACTTTTGAGGACATGATTGGAAGGTATATACTTTACTTTAAAGGTTCATGAAAGTATTCTCTCTCCAAAACAACTCCATAATAGAACCCCATCACCTACATTATCAACATTATATGTTACCTTCTAAATAATTTCAACTGTAATTTGAATATTATTAGTACTGATTATTATTGTTCAACTCCAATGATTATTATTCTATCAACATAATTACATACTGAAGGGGTGATTCCCATGGCACGTTTAATTACTATATCAAGACTTAATGTAAACCTGCTTTTTATAATAAATACTTTAATAGAATAGAATTCCCGCCTATTACCTTTTGATATAAATTTCTGAGATTCTACTCACATACCTATGTAAATTCATTGTGGATAAAGAGGGTCCGAAATGTTTTATATTTCTTACAAAATTAAAGATCTGAACAAAAGTCAAAGAACAGAATAAAACGGTGTTATGTTTCAACTTGCACTACTTCAATTTCATCCCAAATTCTCAGAATGGAATTAAAAGCCATGCCACCAGCAATTGCAGTTCACAGAAACAAAGTTGACCTGTACCTTTCCTATAATATGAGCTGCACACATTTTTCTGAGTTGTAATGATTAGTACCGGTAGCTGAATTACAGGTGCAAAATACGCATGAATGATTATCATAACTGTATAAAAAGTTACTACACAATAAATTTGGAAATCTGGCCTTGGCAAATAATTATAATTCAAACATAACCCAGCAATATGACATAAAATGTAAGAGAAATCAATTAATAAGAAGCAGTTTATAACCCTATACCTTGGTGTATAAACCGTTATCAGGTGAATTTGAAGCACTCCTGGGGGGGTGTTTCACAAAGATCCTACACTGTAAGTCTAAATTAACTCTAAGTTGGACTTGAATATTATGGAGAGCCATTTGTAGCCTTAAAATGAAATATATTCAAAAGGAAACATTTAAGTATTTTAGACTTTTCATAAATTCCACATCAAAAACATGAAATCTCCTTGATAATAGAAAATATTAATTTTCGGATTAACATTTTATGCCTTTTAAAATAACTTTTACAAAATATTTTCAAAGATGCTGATGGCTTTCCATAATTTTTAAGTCCAACTAAGAGATAAATTAAACTTTGGATCTTTGTGAAACACCCCCCTGATTACCATGTGCAATACAGGTCTTGAATAACACCGAGTCCACTTAATACGGAGTGTAAATAAGTCATGTATGGAACTGTCCACAACTCGTCGGCCGGCTGGCAGAAGGGTGTTAGCGCGTGAGTGACTCAAAAACTATTTTTCAAATTATTCACATTTAAAGATTTGTTTAATATTTAAACTGCTTTCCGTCCCCAAAATTGGTTTAAAACTTATAGAAATGTTATAGTAGAAAACGGCCACATTTTTTTTCTCAGAAAAAAGTCAGTTTTATAAAAGTTTGAGGCGATTTTAGTGCTAACGCCCTTCTGCTTAACGTTTCATTTTTGACCTGAAATTTGAGCTAACGCCCTCTGCCAGCCAGGTGATGAACTGTCTCCTAGATGAATTTGAAGCACTTTTGCTTATCGTGTGGAATACGGGTTTTGAATAGCACAGAGTCCACCCTGTACTGTGTGAAGAAGAAGCGGTGGTGTAGCCATACACCTTAGTGAAGAATGGATGCACTTGTGTCTCTCTTGGAAGTGAGAGTCATCCATGGAGAGTGCTTCGGGGCATCCAGCGCAGCGGAATGTCCAACGGGACGTCACCTAGGATTAAGAGAAACATACAGTGAAACGGTACATCAAGACTATTCAAGAAGACAAGAAAACAGGCACATGATCTTTCTGTAAAGGTTCTGTTTACGCATGTTTTAATGACAAATACTATTCAAGGGGGGGGGGGGGGGGGGGGGAGGGGGGGGGGGGGGGAACAAGAACATTATAGACAGGTGGTGGCTAAACAGATGATTATTGTAGCATTAGGAAGGGGAAACTGTTGAGCCTGGCTCCGGCCCAAGGGATTTCCCTTCTTGATAGAAAATTATCTAAGTCTGGAGTACATGTATGCATATGAATTGTTGTTGTTAGATTATGTTTTAAGGCTATATACCCATTGGGAGTGATAGATATGATGGTTAGTCTTTTTAATCCAGACCCCTGAGTCACTTGACACATTTTACTCATCCTGAGAGCTTGTTGACAAGATTTAAAAAAACTTTTGCAGGTGGAGTACACAATTAAAAAAACATTAAATGTTACCACAAAAACCACTAGGCATGTTGTACTTACATGTATGTGTGTTATTGTAAAAACAGAAACGTGAAGCGGCAATAATGGCATTTTATTTTTACAATGCTGTTTCTTTTATTCTAGCATTTTTACTGCATCGTATGAATGAAGCCCAAGCTATATCACTTACGTTAACATAACCACCTCAGTTTATTGCAGGATTAATTTTTTGGGGAACTTTTAGCATACTGAACCCATTTTTTTTATGTACTCTTTAACATCCCACCTCAGTTTATTGCAGGAAATGGGTTTTTTTTTGGAGTAGTGTTGGAGCATTGCAGCGCAGCTACTTTTTATCATCTTCAACCAACATTCATTACGTGCACACACGCCAAAGAAAAGGCATGCCGGTTTACTGCAGCAATGCAACAAGCCTTTTTATATACCTCTCTTTAGAAATCTAGCCATCTGATTGGTCGAAATGGAGTCGTGATTTAAGCCATTCCCGTAAAGAAATGAACAATGTCAGTATCGTCAATAGTTCATGAGTGAGATTCCCGAAGATTCTGGGTACCGGGAAAATAGTAAAATTCTGATGAGATCCTCATTGGTTTACATGTTGAAAGTTACTTTGTGCACAAGGCACAACTACATGTATACAGTGCTTTTGTCTGCGATTCCCAAATGATTGTAACATGCCCAGGCTCGCCTCTGGGGTCATGGCAGGATGCAACGTCCCCTTGAGCCTATAAAAACAGCCGGGACTCTCATAGCAGTCGATATCTCTATAATATTGCAGGTTTTCATTGAAATACGGTACCTTGACAGGTGGCTTGCGAGTCACATGCGAGACGAGGAAGTTCATTGCGATGTCCTCACAGTTCATGTATTCATCCACCTTGTCTCTAATGGGCTGGGGCATCACGTAGGAGTATAAATAGGTATAGTAAAAACTGAAACAATGGGATAATATATAAAGAAATATAAGTGATTGTATTATGAAGAGCTTGGATGAATAGGGGCAGTGGCGTAGCTCGAGTCCACATGCTGAAGGGGGGGGGGGTGAAGGGGGCACTCGAGCGATTAGGGGGAGAGCACTAGTGTGGTCCAGATGTCTTCTTGTCTCATCCTTTTCTCCTCCCCCTTTCCCTTTATTCTTAGTTCTTCTTTTATTTTATTTTTTTGAACCACTCAAAGCGGTGAGGGGGAGGGATGTGTGCCCCATGCCCCCTTCCCTGTAGCTTCAAACAATGTATACCTTCTACTTCTACTTCTATGGTAATACTCATCAACGCCTGTTCAACATCTAGATGAGTGAAAACCACAGAGTTGTTATATACAGCTCTACTCTTGCTTTACCCTCATACAGATGCTGAACAGGCATAGGGTAGTAAGATATGGTGCATAGGGTAGTAAGATTACTTTTTAAAGGAATGATCCACAAAGTGTAAAAAAATGTAAAATGTAAAAGTGTAAAAAATGACAGAATGATGTGAACAAGTTACTCTGTTTAAATAGCACAGACAATAATCACCATACCACATAAAATATGGCAACTTTGAAGATGAAATATATGATCCATTCTTACTACCTTATCCCTTGTAAACCATAATCAAACTTTGTTGTGTTTTGCTTTTATTTCTAATTATCAATTTTTGTTTCTTTAAACTCTATTGTGGAAGTCTTGAGTACTTACTTTGTGGAAGAAGGCAGCACCTGTTAAAACCATGGACAGTTCACAGGAGTAGTTGGCACTGTAGAGGAATCCATTGCGATAGTTGAGATCCCACGCATGGTAGCGACCCGGGAACCCCCCACGCGGTCTCGGGATTCCCGCCACACTCTGAAAGATGCAACAGACCATATTCAGAGTTATTGTGAAAGTAGCTTTTGCAGGAAGTATAAATCTAATTAGGATCTGTCTCTTTATCAACATTTACATTTCTCAAAATGTCAGTACCCCATGTATAACTTGCAGAATTGATACTATTTACGTATTATCAATTCATAACCCCCCCCCCCCCCCCCACAAAAAAAAAGAGATAACAGTACACCATTGATGTCAGGACACACAGGATATTACAAATTCTTCAGTAGAAAATTCTAAATCATTACTTAAAGTATTATTTTGTATATTGTACAGGGTCAGATATGATCTTTAAGTGCCTGTCAAAATAAACTGCAGGTTCCTTAACGAAGGGTGAATAGTGACACCAGGAAAAATAGGAATGAAGTTAGAGGAGTGTCTTAACAAATATTAGTCGTGCCCCAAGCAGAACCATTTCCAGTGTGTGTCCCAATTCACTCCAGTGGTTGAATATACCACAAACAGATCAAGATTATTTGATTATGACAACCATCTTTCATTTCAAGACTACAATTCCATATTAATACCTGAAACCAAAGAGAATCTCATCGTGTCTGAGATGAGCATCATCATCCAGGGACAGGATGGCTTCCGTCTCAATCTCATCATAAGGCAGAAAGCGGTTATTCAGACTGTTCACCGTTGTCTTCACCACCTAGTCAGAAAGATATAAATAAATTAACAATTGTATTATCATACATGTGGGAATCAAACTTAAAGATTAGCCATGTTTTGGTCATATGATTGAATTGTGAAAGAAACTGTCTGGAAGCAGTTGGAAAAAACAGATTACATAACACATAAGCACTGGCCATTTTTATGGATGGAGGGGCTAAAGCCGCCCCAACCCCCCCCCCCCCCAAAAAAAAAAAAAAAAAAAAAATCTTCAAGTCACCCATCCATAAATATTTTGAAGGAAAATGTAGAAAATGTATACAAGTACCCCAAGCTCTCCCAACACGCCTAAAAGCCTCCCCCCCCCCCCCAAAAAAAGTATTCTATAACTGCTCCTGCACATATGAATTGCAAATTAGTGTATATGGTTTGAGATTTTTTTTTATTATCAAGAATTTTACTTAGTCTTGTTGAAAGTCATATGATCTGTACATCAAAATGGGTATGTGAGACTATACACATAAAAGGCATGAACTTTTGGTCCATTATCTGTTTCTCATCTGCCAGGGCCTAAGTAATACATGATGCGGGGGGGGGGGGGGGGGGGCTGACCCTAGGGAGGAAAGTCAATCAGACTCGGTTTACAATAAAATTCTGTTGATTTTCTAATTTTTATTCATTATTGTTAAAATTTATATTTTATATTTCTTATTCTTCAGTTACTCATGCCAATTATGTTTCCCTCTGTTTTGATTTGATTCATATATTTTGCATATATTCATGTTTTGTTATATTTTGTTACTGGCTTTTATTTGTATTATAATTTGTAAATTTTTATTCAGTTCACACAAACTTTCTGAAAAAGCAGCTGTTTAAACATAGAGTGTATACTATTACCATCTGAATAAATGAAATGAAATGAAATCTTATTCTAATATGAGGGCATTTGAAGGATAATAATTTTAAGGGGACATTTCTTCGGTGATACTCTTCAAACTAACATAAATAGAATAAAAAGCTTACAGATTAGTTTTTTAGCATACCTTTATAGGAACATGAATCTCAGGCCAGACCAGATCAGCAGGTGGCATCTCAGGGGAGTTCCAGACAACCACAACCTGATAGAGGGAGACAAAATCAGATTCAAGGAAAAAGAACATCATTTAAAATCTTTCCATAAATAAGATGAAAGGTATTGTTAAATATATCCATAATCTTTGAGTGACAGATTTTGTCAAGTACTAATTTGCACGTCATAAAATATAGCTAAAAAAACACACAATGGAGATATTTTAGATGGTATGGTCTTGTTTTTTTTAAATTGGTAGTGAAGTCAGATATATGAATGATGAGTTTTAATATAAATCCTCCAAAGTGTTTTATCATTTTGTTCATAAATTACTGTTTGGGATATTTGCATTATCAATAAGGTAAATAGTTCATATTCAAGAATACACATCCTAAGTTCAAGAACTTAGAAATTATCATGAGATACACCATTTTGTGAATTTTATGAATGAGAACAAATTGCTTTCATCAACATACATGTAACTCAAATATACTGTTAAACCTGTTTGGATTGCCAAAAAAAAAAGGGAAATCAGTAACAGACTTTTCCCCATATAAAATGTGTAATGATATCCAGCTTACCTTATTCAAGAAAGGCAATCCCATGAGCCGGATCAAGGAATTCATGAGCACTGCCTCTCTCTCGTAGGTCAGCATGACAATGGTGAACTGCTCCCTGGGGACGTTACCTCCAAGAGACTCCTGGAACTCCTTGCCCGAGCCTCCAGCTCCACCTCCTATCGGACGAAACCCAAGGGTCGAGCCCACAAACTTGGCATCCGAATGGACGACAGGGTCAAAGGGAGTGAAGGGGAACAAGTACTGGGCTCCCGGGGGGTTGTTCCATGTGAAGTGGGAGTCCATTGCAATGGAGGTGAAATTCCTGAGGAACTTTGGCGAGGGGAAAGGAAGCTCAGGGGGTGGGAGACATCGTCCGACTCTGGATACATCTGCTCCGCTCGTTGCGTCTTCTGAGGAAAGTCCTCTGTGAACAGATCAAGGGATTTCTCCTGGGGCACTACGTTGGCTGGAATTCCTATTCTAGTTCTTAGATTGGCAAGGATGCCGTTGATGACTGCATCTGTATTTGATAGATAAGTTGTCCATAGGAACCATCCTTGTCTCCGGAGCTTGAGGATATCATTGTCTTGGATTGTCTTGAGATAGAAGTAGAGTTCTGTTATTCTGGAACGAGGAAGCACTATAGCTGCTTCATTCCAAGCATAAATTCACTAAAGGGTAACTGCATCTGCTCTCCTACAATGACAGGTATTGCACCAGTTTGAAGGGCTTCAAAGAAGCGGGTGTAGAAAGTGGTGGAAGATACTATATGGTCTCCTGGACTTAAAATTATTACATAAGTTGATTGCTTTAAGAGCTTTAACCGCTCTATCTTTGTACTGCATAGTTTCCAGTCTGAGGCATCAATGCCTTCAAATGATTTAAAGGATTTACAAGTAAAATCAAGGTGGACTTTATCATCCGAGAGAGACTTCAGTTTCTCCATTTCTAGAATCATAAGATCCTCCACAGATTTAGTCCTATCTACATCTTTAAGCCTCCTACTGAGAGGGGCATTGTTGTCTACATATTCTGTCTGCACCATAGTCTGAGTTGGTTTTGATCCCTGATATGTAATAAGATATTTCCTCCTGGCAGGAACTGCAGAGGAACTTCCTTCCAGTCTGTTTCAGAGCTAAGACCAAGCAGCATCGGAGCGACGATGTCGAACCCTGAGCGAAACTGTGAATTCACAAAGGGTGTCTGAACAACAATGGCGCGTCCTGTATTGACATTCTGCAGAATGTTCCTGTTGGAAAGACTTCTCACAAGGTGCAGGAGCAGATGGTTCCTACCATCATGCCTCCAGTATGGTAGTTTATGTAGACCTACTTCAAGCTCATGACTACTAGGTGAATGACCCTGATCCTCCAACTCTCCCACTAGCACCACATACACACAGGCTAAGTTGGCATCACGCGTTAGATAAGAACTGCGACCAAATGCATTTGTGACTGTCAGCTTTATCGTGGAGTCTAACTTGCTCCCACCGCGCCATAAATCATTAGAATTATACATAAATACTGGAAATCTTGACGTGAGCGAGCATCTTGAGTAATCAAAGCATGTATGCTGCAAGCATCGTGTAGGCAAACTAGGTGGCTCGATATCTCCACTGTCTTCTTGATTAGGTAGAATCTGATAAGGAGCAGAGATGTGTCGAAGACTCCTCTCTACAAGCTCACTCTGATCTCTGATCGTCTGTTGGATCTGATCCTTAATGCGATCTCTTTCTGCTATGGCGCTGCGAACCCCCGACTGCGCTTGCTCCGACTGCATCGACAAACGCGTGACTTGAGCTTGCAACAATTTCCGCCTCTCCTCCAACTGCCGCAACTCCATTTGAACAGAATTTTTAATGCGATATAGCTCCACTAGATGTGACTTTAGCTCACTAGGCTTCAATGCAATCATTTCATCCAAGGTTATACTAAAACTCCTTTGATCTAGTGAGTCTAGATCTGAATTGCTCAGGTAATAATGGGTCACCAATGGAAGCAAAATCAGCATAACCAACAACATGATGATCAGTCGCGTCAGCTGGCCACTTCGCAGTAACCACTTGGAGAAACTCACATTCTTCGTAGGAGATTTAGGAGGCGTAAACTCCCTCTTGCTCTGGTACTCCATGGTCTGACTTGGCCCCCACAATGGTTGGGAATCACTGAAAGCCATTCTCCTTCACCAATTAATTCAACTATTCCACCAATTTTCTTCTCATTATACAATTCAAATTCATGACAATATGAGCATGTTTCTTTAGTATTTTCATTTCTATAGGCATTATTTTTTTTAGTTAAGCTAATTTCTTATGACAAGGTATTACAAATGACAATTTAGCAATAACATTAAAAGTTAACTAATCATAGTTACATAAACAGCGGAAGCTCAGTGAATAATAAAATTACAATTAAATTTTCTGCTTCCACATCCTACATCGGCACTTCTCTTCTCAAGAAAAAAAAGAAAGGCAATACCGGCAAGTTCGTACATCAATCTATCTTGAAGAGCCTCAAAGTTTTGAATATGAACTCCACTTTGTTTACACATCACTCTACACCTTACCCTAACAACGAGGGCACCCTAATCCTTCAATTATTTCTCTGCGACAGATTGCGTACAGTGCCTGTCGTCCTAAAGTCACACCGCTGGAAGGGAGGGTTGGCTGTACACGAAACTACCCTGAGATCCATCATCACTTCTCTTCTCGCTTCTTAATATTGGGTTACTCTGAGAACCCTGGAGGCACGGGAGACTCTAAGATGAGCATCAAATAACTGATATCAATTACATGCCTTCCCGTTAAATCCATGTACAAGTAATAACCTTTGTTTATTACTCCTTGAACAAGTAGAAATCACAGTTTAGCATCTCTTAGTTACATATTTCATAACATGTGGCAACCAATGCACTGCACCTTGTTTTAGTTCAAAGGCTAAGACAAGTTTTCACTTATAATAATATAAATATAACAAGTTTTACAAAATGCCAATCTTAACTTTTATTCCTTACAACCTTCCGTTAAAATCATTCCATGGAAAGTCTTGAAGAGACAGGATGTTTCATCACACATTGCTATACCCTAGAAGGTCTTATTTGACATTTTGAATGGCAAGACAGCCGTGTGCTATAGCAATCAATCGTGAGGTTATGATGTCATAACATGACAATGACAGAGCAGAGAGAAAGGCACCTCAGACTGGAATATCAACAGAGGAAAAGGTTTAAAGGACAACGCTTGTTTCCTTCCTTCCTTTTCTGTGCCGTAATTTTAGTTTCCAACTTTGGATGGATGTGGTATTCACCTGCTATATCTCTTTTGTAATGTTACCCTTTTTTTTTTATCTCTCCATTGTCCTAATATGACTACAATCAACTGCATGGAAAACTTCTCATATGAATTGCTCATCAAATTGGCAACAAATTATTGGAGATTGTAACCTTGAAAGGAAAAATATTCAGGGTTAACGATGGAAGGCAAATTATAAAATAAGTTATGGCTACTGCATTGAATGTAAAGTATGAAGGTAGACAGATTTATCATAGGAAGAACTGACCTTTCCTTTCAAGTGCTCATTAATCAACCCGGTCTCATCAATTCTCAGATTGTTCCACCATGTGATGCTAGTATATCTACTGACGGGACCTGGTATTAGACCAGTTTCCAAACCAATTGATATTGCACAAAGGGGTATTGTGTTAGAATGTAGAAATATAAGGAGGCATCTATTTATAAATATTTGTGAAGTACATTGATTAAACTTGACAGAAATATGGTTTTGCACTAGCTGAAATCGATACTAGCAATATATTCTTTTTTACCCTTTTACACGTTTGACAATGACATGTTCAAATTCAGCAGATCAATTTCTAGTTTACCACTAAGACTACACGGCCAACGGAGCAGGGGCGTTATAGTTGAAAAACTGCAGTCAATGAACCAATTTTTGTTGAGCAGGAGAAGGCATATGATATCCAATGGTCTCCAGTTATGATCAATCACTCTGCTTTCCCTGCAGTATCTCCAAAGAAACATTCACTTCTCAATTTCTCATCAATGATATATTCGCTCGTGATATCTCCCTCCAACCTTGAACGAGATGAAAAGAGCTATCACGTCTTCTTCATAAATCTTGGCGAATGACACCTTCTCGGTTTCCGAATGACATCGTTTGAGAATTACAGCTCACTCTTCGGCTAGCAATGTCTTGGATAACATCAGTGATCACCTTGTCTGCATGCTCCACTGGGCTAGGACACCTTCTGTCATAATGAGAAAGATACAGAAAGAAAATGGCATTGGGTTACACAGGGGTGATAGTGAGCACTAAAAAAAAAGTAGGTTTTTTTGTTTTCCCCTCAACCGCGCCCCCCTTGAGTAAAAAAAAAAAAGAGGATTCGCGGGGAAAAAATGGCATTTAACATTCCCCCCTTTCGAGTAAGAAAATTGGGACAAAATTGGGGAAAAAATAGGGCAAGATTGGGAAGAATAGAGAAAATAAGAGGGAAAGCGGGAAAATCAGGATAAAATAGAGAAGAAAAAAAAGATTGGTAAAAAAAAAAAAAAAAAAAAAAAAAAAAATCTGGATTTTTTTTTTTTTTTTTTTTTTTTTTAAAATCGGGAAAAAAAAAAATCGGGAAAAAATCGGGAAACCGATTTAAATCGGGTTTTTATCAGGCCTGTTACATTACAGCTTTTTCTTATATCTTCTTTGAGAGCCGGAAGGGTGTTAAAGTTGTTAAAGATAAAGTTGAGTTTTGGTCTTGCGATTGCATTGTGAAAGAAACATTGTGGAATCGATCAGAAAAGGTTGATCATCTACATGTAGCATATAAGTATTGGTGTGTACTGCAAGGTTCTTGAATCATCTAAATGATAAGAAATTTGGCCCAGTCTTGATGAAGTTACAAGCACGGTACACAGAAATATGTACAGTATATGGGGGACTACACGAACATGTGGCAAAAAGTCTGTCCTGATTTTTGCTGTTACATGCCATATTTCAAATATTTATTAATGCATTTAAAGAGCCATGCTTTTCAGAGAACATTTTTTTATCTGATGGTCTTCCACGCTTACATAATAATATTGTTAACGCTCACAAATAAGTTTTTACCTCTGCCCAGAACTCATCCTTCTCTTTAACTCTTATGTCTTCAACACAGAATCCATATGGAAATCAAAAGAGAGCCTCTGCTCAGACTATACACTATTCTAGACTATAATCGATCTACAATCCTGTAGCTCGATCCTACAAACTTCTCAGCTTATGACATCACCATGCAGTGATGCACCACTTTATTGTAAATTCTTTATACCCTGTTCACATAAAGAAATAAAATGACTGTGTCATGTAAACCCTCTACATGTAATGCATGCAGAGGCATAATTATAAATCAACATAGCCACAAAACATATGAACAAGGCCGGCTCTCTCTCTCATTACACCAATGGGGGCATGATTGTGAGGCAGCAAAAACAAAAAATACACTGGAGCAGTGAAACGATTTGAACTCTCAAAAGCTCCAAAAGTGATTTGGTAAAATCCAAAAAATACTTTATTTCACTGTGAGAAATCAAACTTACACAACAATAAATCCTAAATGGGCTCCTGCAAATAGAAATTAAAAACCACTGTGAGCTGTACCTTCTTAAGAAGCAAAAGGCCATGAAAATATATGAACAGGGCTTCTATTTACAACAATGGTGGTGCAGATTGCTACAGCAAAGCTACAGCAAAGCTACAGCAAGAAGTTATTCCTTGGTTACACGTACGCTTATGCACATCCATAAACATAGCCACAAATATGTATGAACAGTGCTTTCTCATTACACCAACACCAGCGTGATTGTAGGTGTCAACATCCTCATGTATGTCAAAACAGCACGAATCCAGACGCTTGCACTTTCTAATGTTGTTCCTCCGAACAGGTAACACATCATGCTCACTGTTACAGGTATTGACAGAACCTCATAAAAACACATGCAAGCATTCCAGGTGGCAATATGATAGTACTGGATAACACTCTCTGTTTCACTTCATGTACGGGTATGCATACACTGTACATCATGATGTTGTTCAAATTTTTCTGATCTGATGACGTAAATGTAAGAGAAACTCTTATACCTATACTTAATATTCCAAAGCCCTCTCTGAAAACAAACAACCATTTCCAGTAGAAACAAAAAAAAAGAAAGGACAAAGAGACTAATAGCCAGAGTTGCCAACCCAACTAAATAACAATCCTATTCTTCCCCCTCCCCCCCCCCCCCAAATCGTCGCTACCGTCACTTCATGAAAACAGCGACGATTTAATGTTATGAAGATATGCCAAAGGGACAGGGAGCATGCCCCTGATGCTCCTCCATCCATCTACCTACCATTTATCTCACAACTGATTGTAATTAGGCTCAAATGACATATTCTGAAGAACTGAATGGAATATGTGATTAGCAGCGAAACAATGGTACATTTGCAATATTGCATAAGGTACTACTTTATGAAGATGAAGTAATAATTAACAAAACCTAAAGCATGAAAGGCTCTAAAGTACATGATTAGATGAACATGTACTTCTATGTTGTTAGAGTTCTTTTTTAAATGTCATAAAAGATAAATAAGAGATGCAGTGGAATGACACTGCAAGAGTGTACTAGGGTGGCAGAAACAGAGATGCATGGAAAAGTGTTGCAAATGATCAAACCTCTGAACTGGCCAACTGGGAGAAGATACCTTGAAACATATAGAAAAGACCATTGTTTGCAGGTGAATAATCAATGCTGCATTTGGTTCAACTTCTTAAAACACATTTACTCTATGACATATATTTCATATAGCTGGTTCATTCGCATGTAAATCTTCGCTCATTCTCAACAACTGTCATTTGTCAAACAGAGAATGCAATTTGTCATTTTTTTCTGGCAATTGTCACTGACTTAACCTTTCTCTTTACACAGGTCATACCCTGTTACCCTATCCTAGCCCCACTCTCACAACTAATGCTTTTAGTATAATAGGTGTCAGTGCATGCTCCTTCCATACTACATGCATGTACATATGTAGCCTACTAAGCCTTTTATTATTTTCCCACTCCCACCAAGTCTTGGAGTGTTTTTTTCCCTTTATAAATAGGCAGAGTGAAGCAATTTCATAACCAAAAGGAAAGAGCGAGATGTAGAATAATGTATATTTCTCTATCGGAGGGAATTGTAACCTCCCATATGTGTAAATGTATGAATTGTACATTCCTACTAATAAAGTTTGGTACAAGGATTATAAAAAGACATTTACTGATTTTTGTTAAAAGGGTCCACATTTCAAGCTAATGTTATAAATATAGATTAATAGAGCATCTTATTATCAAAAAAGATGTTGTGTAGATTTAGAAGTCCAAGTGCAGTATTTGCAAGCCCTCGAATGATATTTCAACAGGAACCAATTTAACTTTCTAGAAGTAAAAGTTTTAAAAATTGACAATACACACATAAAAGCCTTCTTGATTACTAATCTTCTTGAAAATGTAACTGCTTATTACAATAACATTACATAAACACTCTCCATAAAGATGAGATAAAATAGAAACTTACATGGACTTATCTCTTGACCAGCTGTGATTACACATGCCCAACTTGCACCAGATCAGAGCATGTAATGACCGAACTCACCACGTTGCCAAAATTCATTGAAACCATGTCACCATCCTATTAAAATATCACTCCGCTGCAGCTACATGTATTTCCCAAATACCAGGATATTTTGGAAACAAGACCAAGATTTCTCGGGATATTTTCTTAACCAAATATCCCGCTAATTGCAACTGCAGGCTGAAGAAGACGCAAATTAACTGGCTAATTTGCGATCTGGATAGTTGAAATAGCAGGTTATTAGGCAAACTCAAGCTGATGAAAACAGGCCTATTAAGTCCCATTAAAGAGAAGGTTGAGTTCTGGGAAGAGGTGAAAAATAATTTGTGAGCGTTATCATTCTTATTATGCAAGTGTGGAAGAACATCAGATAAGACATGTTCCCTGAAAAGCATGGCTCTTCAAATACCTTCATATTCTAAATATGTCATGTACATTGTAAAACTCGGGGGTCGGTTTTTTACGCCACGTGTTCGTGTAGTCCCTTATACATCTTTCTGTGTACAGTGTTTGTAACTTTACCAAGACTTGGCCAATTTCTTATCATTTTGATGATTCCAGAACCTTGCAATACACACAAATTCTTATATGCTAGTTGATCAACCTTTTCTGGTCGATTCCACACGGTTTCTTTCACAATGCAATCGCATGACCAGAACTCAACTTTATCTTTAAGTCCCAGATGTTGATGATCTTTATTTCCTTGTACACATCTATGTAATGATTACCGGTACCACAATTAATTGTCCAGATGGTAGAATTACACACAAGCCACTTGCCAATCCATTTCATATTAATGATAATTCCAGATCATCTGCGGAAAGGTTAATGAACATTGCACAATGTATCAAAACATGTTGATTGCTTTGGTGGCATTTCGGTTTTGATGTAACATGAACTAGTTTCTCATTAGGGCTACATCATACCAGGGGAACATGGAAGCAACATGAGAATGATACACAAAGCATTGGAATGAATGTTACGACCATTATTAATTTCCTTTGGATAAGCCAATCGGTTTCTGTAATTAAGTCCATTGCACATCACATGTACACATATGCCATCATTCTGACTGTGATTTGAGTTCGTATGAAATTGCAATAACATGAAATATAAAAAAAAGGTTGATCTTCCGATTGACATTCTTTATGGTTAAACCAACAGCACATGAAAATTAGATCACATCGCAGACTCTTTAGATAGACAAAAAGCCAAATCAGCTTTAAATCAGGGCCAGGAATTACGTAAGGATCTACGCAACTGAGTATGATGTAATTAGAGAAACGTTATGTTTGACTACTTCTCTGATTTAACTAGATTCATTGAACCATACAGGTATGAAAGACCTCAATCAGGATGATTTTACATACCATTCAATTTTTTATATTTGCTGATAAATGCATTTTCTTTCAAAATTCAAAGTCAGATCGCAGTGGAATCATACAACTTGCAGTAGACAAAAAATGCACTATTTTTTGGTGGTCAGATTTCTCAAGTACATCCCTACAGTACATAACAAGGAATTAAAAACACTCAAGTTTCAGTTTTGGAAATTCCTAGCTGTTACTAAAAAGCCGGAACTGCACGAGACATTGATCCTCATTGGTAATTATTTTAA